AATGTGTCTGAGCAGGCATCTGTAACAAGGATTGGAAAGCCTCCCTAGTAGACAAGTAGACGCGGATGCGAGCGGTTAGCCATTATCTATCTATCTATCTATCTATCTATATATATATATATATATATATATATATATATATATATATATATATATATATATTCTTCCGAGTATTTTGATTTAAGCCATTTTCAAGTGGGCGGGCTAATTTTCTTTGTCACAAAGTTCGTTCATATATTTTATTTGTTTCGTTAGGAGCATTTTCGAAAAAAGACACCTCCTCCCTCACAAAAAAGAAAAAAAAAAACAAAAGAAAACAGATTCACCTAAAATAGCATTTTTTCTATTAAATCTAAGGTGTTTTGGGTGCGATTGGAAACAAAACAAAACTTCAGTAATAATTACTTTTACTCGCGCACAATAGAAATATCACACACAATATATTAAAGAAGACAAAAATATATTAACAATCCTACGTAATTATTCCCTTATGGAGTTGGTTTAAATATTATTATGGATAATTTCTCCACACACTTAGCATTCAAAATTATAAGGACACAAGAAAAAAATCTTGCAATATTTATACTTATAAGGTTAAATAGATAGATAGATAGATAGATAGATAGAGAGAGAGAGAGAGAGAGAGAGAGAGAGAGAGAGAGAGACAGAAAGATAGGAGATTTTGATATGTAAATATTTTTTATCAGAATAATGGATAATTGAATTACAAGATAGAAAGCATCCCATGTAAAAAAATATTCATCAGACTAATGTAATATTCATATTGATGTAATTAAATAAATATACAAATATAGTTCTCATCCCTGCTCGGTTAGCAAGCCGTCCTTCTCTAACAGCGCCGGCTCCACTGGCTTTGAACATGTACACTATATGTCGGATGGGAGGATTCTGAAGAAGAACTAGTCACCGGTAAGACGGCACGAGAGTGAAAACTTCGCTTCAAGCACATCTTCAAAAAGGCCATGAGGGTGATGGGACTTGGACATCGAAGTGAGAAGACGTCCCCAATGTCCACTCAATATAAAGAAAAACAGTAAGATATATAATCCGGTGTTCTTATTGATATTTTTATTTTTTAAAATAGTGCTCAATGCAAATTTACAGAGCATTACTATTATAAATTAACTGATTTAAAATATGGTTTTTATATTTTAAATCAGTAATTTATATATATATATATATATATATATATATATATATATATATATATATATATATATACACGTTTCATTAAATAATATAGACAAGTGTTGTCTATTTATTTTATGTAAAATTTGTTCGTAACATCTGATAAGTTTGATAACATTATCATTAAACGAAGAAAGAAATTCACAATATTGATCCATATAATGATGACATATATATATATATATGTCATCCGTCTCTCTCTCTCTCTCTCTCTCTCTCTATATATATATATATATATATATATATATATATATATATATATATATATAATATAAACGAAACTACGTCGCTTATAATTACTGGCATGAAACGCTGAAGATGTAGAGGCTCTAAATTTAAATTAAAAATTTATCGCGTCCACCGAAACAGCTGGGCAGGTTTCCTTTAGTTTCCCAACACATTTTTTATTGCTATTGAGAAGATTTGTTAAGTTAAGTGAAACTATTCCTTGTCGGTCATATTGAATGAAACCACACACACACACACACGAATATAACGAAGCTGACTGGAATTGGAATTCCGCTCTCCGATTACCAGTTTCGAACCATTAACCATTACAACCCCACCACGCCCCGTATACCCGTATACCCAAGCTTACAATGCTTAACTTCGTTGAAAATTTCTGGAATAAAAAAAAAACAAACCTTGTGGTAGAGTTTTAAAAAATTCCAGCAACAGCCTCGAATCTATCTATCTATCTATCTATCTATCTATCTATCTATTTCTACATGACTTTCAAGTAGACTGGATGGCTGGTATAAAAGAGGTTGCTTGAATAGTTTTTACTAATTTTCAGTACTTAAACGCTTTGTCTTAAAATACTAGAAAGCCAAATTAAGGAGTGCGGATAAAATTATGAATATTTAATAAAGGTAGGTAGAATAAGTATGTATCGAGTTGATTTTTCTCCAAAAAGAAAATCCATGTATTTGAAATTCAAAGGTAAGTAATTTATTTAAGTAAAATACTAAGCTCTTCCAAGAACAATCTATTGCTTTTTCTTTTCTATTGTGCATTTTTCAGTCTTTTAAAATTACCGAAAAAAAGATAAGAATTTGTATTAAGAATCTATGGTTATTAATATAAGGCTCTCTGTCTCTATCTATCTCTCTATCTGCTTGTCTGTCTCTCTTTTTTTCTCTCTCTATCTATCTTATGATTTTAATGGCTGAAAATGGCTTGAATTGGGACCAAGGTAAAATCAAAATCTACATTTTAATCTTTGAGTTTCAGCTCTGATAGTTGAGTTTCAAAGATTTAATCTTTAGCTCGAAACTGCATTTTGTGTATTGTATGGCCTTCACTAGCATCTAGCACAGCCGTACGTATATAGATCATCAAACATATAATTTGAAAATATAATATATAGCCCTTTCTATCAATTTAGGTAGAGTCACCTGTTACCGATGATCATTCAGTATGTGGCTTAACTTGCTAAAAGAAAACCAGCAATGCTAAGTGCAAAATAACAATGGTAAACCGACAGGCCATAATTGACATGAACACACCAAAGTTGGACGAAATAATTAGTTTCTTTTATCCTTTCCGACATCGATGATGAGCATCTGAGCGTCAGGTTGAATCGGGTAAAGAAAGAAGATAGGAGCAATAATTAAATATGGCCGCTGGGCTCAACATATTCGAACACCGTTCTGAAATCCCTATTGCAGGAATATGGACAAATTAGTTCATGCCATTACAGCAGATTGGCGGGAAACGTGGATGTAATTGAGCGCTACGGGGACAGCTTATTGAATTTAACGGTTCGTCTCTATCGTCATTCAGGTAGTTTTACTGAAAGTAATACACACACACACATACACACACACACACACACACACATATATATATATATATATATATATATGAAAAATGCGTTCGTCTTTGTGTACATATATGTGCCATTGTAAATTGCCACAGAGCACTCGAACAGAATTTAGTAGAGACGTTTGCCGCTGTCATTAGTAAGAAGTGTTCTAACAATAGTCTCCACAATCTCCAGTGGAGGCAAGAGAAACAGTGGAAACTAAGAGATAAGTAAATATACTCATTATCAAATTCTTCAATCCCTTAGCTCTCTAAGCAGTAATGTTTTTTAATATCTATTGTCATTCTTGATAATGATTTATTCACTCATATAAATTCGTAAAAGCGATATACAAATATATATTACACTATTGTCTTTCTTAAATATAATATTTAAAACTCAGAAATTTTTTACGTCTCTGTTCGAAGAGCTGAGATCTAATAAAAGCCATGACATCAAATAACATAAGTTTTTAGTCTTATATCTTGTCCAACATATTCTTTAAATGGGGATTAATAAATTAAAATAAACTGTGTTTTGATATTTATTTCCAGGATTGTCTTTTGTATGAAAAGAAATAAGAAATTTTGACATATTGAACATCAAAAAAATATAAATTGCAATCTCACAACAGGTCGCATATGAAGGTAAGAATTACTAGATGTTTAAACATATCGAAAATTTTCTTAATCCATTTTATAGCATACACAAAATCTCTCTCTCTCTCTCCTTCTCTCTCTCACAAAAAAGAAAAAAGAAACGAGAGAAGCGGAACTAAGTTAAGAGCCGCGGTGAACGCAACGTCAGGTATCATTACTAGTATATATTGTACAGAGAGGGTCTACGGGAATTTGATAGTGAATAAAAATAACTTATTCTTTTTTACATATTGATGTTCACTGAATACAATGCTCGCGATAGACCCACGATATACGGTTATTTTAAAAATGGTTTTAATATATGTGGTGTGTAATATGAAGAAAAGGGAGGGAGGTAGAGAGTGAAGGTTATGAAGGAGAACAAACAGCAATTGACCCTTGACCTGCAGATGTTAAGGGAAACAACTACGAGGAAGTGTCTTCCATAAACTAGCAGTTGTTGAGAAGAACATGAGTGGATATTTCTCCTTATATACGGAGGAAATGAAAGTGATTCGATTCCATCAAAGTAGCATGATATATCCTAACAGTAAAGTTCTGAATTGGTGGAACTAAAGAATGGAGCTCTTCTGAATGAATAACGATAGGCTATCGATAGGCTTGCAACATTAGATCATTGACATTTCTCAAGACAAGAAAGTGAGGATTAACCAGTTCCAGCCTAGATATGGTCATAATGCTCGATTTTACTGTTCAATATTATTGCAAAGGTAAAGCATGACAGAAGGGGGTTTGATACATCCTGGAGCGATAGAATTAGCTGATAATTCTTCCAGCATCTTTAGCGATGTATGATATATATGAATTCCATTTGATAACTAGAGGGAATTTGAAGCTCAATAGATGTCCGGAGTATCGAGCGTAGAGAGGGTAACCGTTCAGCGCGAATGGAGAGAACTCAGTTTGGATGTATTGGAAGTCACAGGCCATTTTTATCTCTGTTGAGCTGTTAGAGCTAAGTTAGAGAAGAGATTAGCTTAAGGCCACCGATCAAATTGATCTCTGGAGGTACATCCATAAACTGCGGTCTCTTCTGCATATATATATATAACAACAGGAAATATTCGAACAGCACAACACTTTCTACATACATATGGCAGCAAAAAGACAAAACATCATATAAGTTGGGAAATATTGAAAAAAAAGCCCCTGCCTACAACAACATTACGAAAAAAATGCCTACACGAAAAAGTAGCAATAATATCACACAAACCGCAAAAGAACTTGCTAAACAAAAAATCAGAGATAATCTCCAAATGTAGGCATGAGAACAAGTTCTATTATCCGAATTCATACCAAACGGATAAAACAGATGTCCAACAATCACAATAATTTCAAGATACCATCAAAATAATTGCACCTATCATTATTATAATTGCACCACCATTAGTAATCACTTTTACCACCTTACAATATCTATTAACTATCAATATTATCATTACCACCTACACACAGCACCATTATTACACATCACACCCATATTAACATATAATCCACTACAATCTTTATTACCCCCCCAGCATATTTAATACTTTAAAACAATATGATCAGATATAATTTCCATATGTAACCATGAGAACAAACACCTATTACCAGGCAGCTTTAATATAATAATAATAATTTTGTAATTAAAAAATTATAGCAATCTTCAACTACCATAATTTTACATAGAATACCTATTATCAGGATTTATACCAAAATAAATTAATACATATAACAAAATAAAACAAAAATAAAACACCAACAACCACTTTTTAGTTCAAGCTACCACCACTATAACTATATTCATGGTTTTATGATTCTCCCACCACCGTTACTAATCATTTCTACCAATCTGCAATTTCTTCCAGTTTACAATAACTATTATTCGAGCATTGTCTCCAATCCTTTGAAACATTACTATCTCATCATATCATATAAACCCGTTATTAAATTAAACATCACCATATAAATTAAAAACAATAAGGATTACAATTTTTACCTGTTACATATACACAGTCACCAAAAACAAACAAATAACCAGCTTTAAATATAACAAATAAACCCCATTTTTTTTTTCAAAATTTAAAATAAATATAAATAATTTAATAATAATTTTTACCTATCATAATTTTACATATACATTTTTCAAATATTTTTCAACGGAAAAAAAAAAAAAAAAAAAAAAAACACACATGGATACATTCACGAGACAATAACGAGACATTTCCGCCACACTTCCAATGTTTAAATTTCAACATTTCAACATACAAATGCGTATGTATAGACATAACACCACCCGTATACATACATGTGTCATAGCCGAAACTGTCTACATATGTTTATATATATATGAGTCCCGACGGACGACCAAGTATGTATATGTATATGTGTCTGCATACATCGATGTTTGCGTTTGTACGATGAATGACAAAACGACGAAATCTCCCCACCACTTCCACAATAACACCAATACACGCAATTCTTTTAAACCCAAATTTTTTTAAACAGTAATCAGTTTGTCTGACGATCGCTAAAGCGTGAAACCCAGGGTCACAAACTCACATCTATCCAACCAAATATATATATATATATATATATATATATATATATATAATGATCTGAGAATGTTCTTAGGCAGATCCGCTATGTCTAAAATATATATGGTGGTTTTACAAAGGATACTGCTCACTAAAGCTAGCAGTAAAATGATTCAGTCTTAGAGATGTATTAAGTATTAAACTGACTGTGGGTTTAAATCCGGCGGATTACGGGCTGTATTCCGGCTCGTCCAGATACGAGTTGCAGAGCCACATATTCGGAGGTTTTCTGTCGGAGCTTCACATTCCTAGGCAAATGGTTAAATTGCTTTCATGGGTCTGTCAATCTCATTACACACACACACACACACACACACACACACACACACACACACACACACACACACACACACACCCCTATATATATATATATATATATATATATATATATTTAAAGATATGGTTAGTGGTACAAAATTTTATGACCGCCATGAAAAGAGAAAATTTCTTTTTATTGCCACTCATGATGATAATAGATAAAAAGTAAAACTGAAAAACGAGTTAGCTAATCGGTTTTGAATCTCGCTCAACAGAGCTAAATCGAGGTCAATAAATTAAACAGAATTATCACTAAAAAGTGATGGACAATATGTATTGTGGAGGAGAGAAAAAGTTTGCTGAGATGGAAATTAGTTGGAGGCCGAGTATATTATTTATATATATATATATATATATATATGAATCCAATCAGTATTTTAACTCCTCCAAAACAGAAATGCTTTCATTTAACCATCGCAGAGAACTTCTTCTGCCTGTCATCAGCATGACCGAAGCTAGATTCTAGGCGAGCAACACGCTGCTCCTTCTTGGAGTGACTCCTAGTCAATAGCAAAATAAAGGAAACTTAGGACATTGTGTCGTACCAGAAATTTTTTCTCGTCAGAATCCATCTATATTTATAAATCTACCATTCCCCGTGCATTGAGTACTGCTGGCATATCTGGTCTGGTACTCCTGCTGTCCATCTTGAGATTCTTGACAAAATCCAAAGAATGATTTGTAATGTAATCAATCCTGACCAGACATCTCGACTTCAGTCATTTTCTCACCGACGTCATGTGGCTTCCCTCTGTCTTTTCTACATATATTTTCATGACAACTGCTTTGAGGTGGTTCTTTCCCTGATGCTCAAAATACATGAATTTAAGTGTGACACTAGATTGTCATCTACGTCCCTTACTATTGAAACAGCTAAATGCAACCGCCACTTCTACTCCAACAGCAGGAGTTTCTAGCACTTTCCACTGTGGATATCCCACCCGTTTACTTGATCCCCTGACAACTACATTATTCGACATTTTCTGTCGTCTTAAATCCCGTTTATCTTTTGTCCTTTCCTCATTCCAAGTCTTTTCACTCACTTGCACTGTATAACCCACTGCGTACTAGTGTCACCCCCGCCTTGATTGGGTGAAATGATTATATATATATATATATATATATATATATATATATATATATATATATATATATATATATATATATATGACAAGTTCAACGATAATATTTCTGAATTTGAGACTGAATATATGCAATAGTATTATCATCAGAATTTAACAATAGTTATAAAAATATTGTGTCACTATATATATATATATATATATATATATATATACATAAACACATACATGCATATACATGCACACAAATATTTTTATATGCATACTGTAAATGCACACACACACCTATAACTTTTACACACACTCAAAATCACTGTTAATAACTCATTCTCTAATTTCACCATTTAAAACCACAGCTTATACTAAATTTTGTATAACTGATCTGTACATTTGTATTATTTGAAGTCTTTACAGTTTATTGAGTCTACATTCTGAATTTTATAGTATTTTTCAGAAAAGCATACCACCACTTTTTGAAATACATTTCACACATTTTAAAATACATACATAATCACAGAGATAAATATCTCTATCTATAAAAGGCAGGATGTGTGTGTGTGTGTGTGTGTGTGTGTGTAACGAATGCACGGTCGGATTTCGACGGATTTGCACCAAAATTTACATGCAGATGCTCCAAGTTAGCGGGAAGGCCAAGACCGACTTTACCTTTCCCAACTCCCATCGATAGTGGAAATAATCGATTTTTTCATGCTTCTACGGTAGTTTTCATGTAGTTTGCGGCCATTTTCTATTGGCCAGAGTGAAAGCCTATAGCTGGCTGCCACGAATAGGCAGGAAGATTCTATTGGCCAGCTTGAGAGCTAACAGCTGACTGACACGAATGTTAACTAGGATGCTAGCATGCAAAAAAAAAATCGATAGCTGCATTTGTCACAAGTGGGAAAAATTTAAATCTGCATGGAACTTTACTCCAATTGGCTCATTCGCTTGCTTAAACTCAACGTTGATTCTGATTCCGCAGAACTGGGTTGGATGTGAAAAAGTATTTGTTGTTAACATTCTTTTTTCATTCGGTTTTTCTAGTTACGAGTCCTTTTTTTTTTAAATTTGATCGTTTTGTGTTCATTTTGTTTAGTTCTTTTTTCGTAACAGATTTAATGTTTAGTATAGAGCTTAGAAAAAATTGTCAGTGTGAGATAGGCAAGAAGTAAGGCATGTAGCAATATCAGCACGGCAATGGGCACTCCTTTAAAGGCAAGGAAGGGCAAAAATATTTTAAGTCAAGTGATAGCGATTGCTGTATGAGTCGTACGATTTTTGAATCAAGCTAGTATATGTATACAAAAATGCACACCAATAGACATATACACAGGTGTGGTATAAAACTTTATATAAATACGAAATTTGTATAACAAAGGAAATAAAAATAAGAAATTAGTGAAATTTCAAGGCTTCATATTTAATTTTTCATGTTGCTAATATTCTCTCATAAACATGGCCGTCATTTTTATTTATATGTCTTAATTCTTTCTTATTAATATGGCCGCTATATTTGTTGATTCATAATTCTTATCAATTCATCTTATCAACATGATCTCCATCGTTGTTGCGCCATCTTTCTTAATTTTCTTCAAAATTGCCGAGATACTTGTTGATCCATTTTCCTAATGTGTCCTCATCGACATCGTTGTCATTTTTGTTGATTTTTTTTTGTTGATCCATCATGGAATCCATAATATCATTTCTAAACTGATACTGCATTTATCATATATTCAAAGAACGATATTTTTTCTATCCGTAGTGAATATATTTAATTAGAACTACCATAAATCATTTAGTCCAATCAATCGAAAGTTGTAGCTAGCCAAATTACTTCCACGAATCCAATTTTGTGGGGACATATAAAAGTATTAAATCTCGATTCATTCAAATTAAATTAATATGAAATATAAAATAAATAAGACAGAAGACAAATACAGGATTCAACAATCTTTTGAATGGAGATGACAGACCTTTGAAAATTAGGCTATTAAACTGATATTTTTTAAACCGATGGAGCATTTGTAGAATATGCAACTGATACGCAGAACTAAAGAGTTGAGTGTTTTTATAAGCTTTCTTTCTTCTTTTATAAGCCGTGAGCGATCATGGCTCTTCACAACTGCTTGTCTTTTTCGCTCTAATTACTCTTGCCTCTTTACCATGCCTTTTTGTCTCTTTTTCTGTTATCCATATATTCTACGTCTTTTTTATGCGCCATATACGCTCATATTCTAGGTGATCATGGCTCTCACCAACTTCCAGATACTTCGACATTTTATGCAACAACCTTTCAGAACGTGGGTCATCATGGCTCTCCACAACTTACAATCCCTCTATTTTCTG